ACAATCGCCTTTCTGTAATTCTGATGGCGATCTGTGTTTGTCAGATATTGAACCAGAGAGTACCTGGTTTCTAATGTAAATGTGGCAGTTGCATTTACTCACTCACAGGTAGATCGTGGGCACTGTTATCAGAAGCAGTGACACCAAGACCCTGAGTCAAGTTTACAGCACAGGCAACTCCAAATGTTCTCTCAGCAGAGATGTCACCTTTACCTTCTGTGGAACTTTTCAAGTAACACATTGCAATGAGTATAAAAAAAAGTGTAAGAAATGTGGAAAGTATTGGCTAAAGATGACAGCTGGTCATGGACAGATCAGTGCAGTGTCTGAATTGTCCACAGTTTGTATGTGAACTGCTGACAATCAGTAACAGAAGGGGCCTGAAAAATAATGCAGATGAAAATAGCTTGAATGGTCGTACAGTTATTTTATTACCACAATCCTCAACATCCCAGCTGACACTGGGCGATAGGCATATCAGGAAATGTACATATGTATGATTAAACTTGTAAATATGTAGAAAAAATATATAAATTAACATGTAAAAACTGTAAAGAGGAACAACCAGAAAAGTATACATTCATGATGATTTTTTAAATTTATGTATATTATTTGTAAAAACAACATCATGAAATGAGGCTGCATAAAAATCTAGGTTAAAATGTATGCGCTAACATTTTTAATCAATGATTTTTTTTTTTTACTTATGATTCTGGGAAATTGTAAATACTCTGTTTTCTATTTGAATTTTGTTTTAAAGTGTGACTATTTTGCAAATAAAAAGATTATTTTCAGTTTTTACTCTTTTCCATTCCTCCTCAAGAAACATACACCACAAAGACACTGGGTCTAGTATTATAGCGTGGTTTTTTTTTTGTCAATTTACTTCACATTTCTGCTACACTGATTTTACTTAAATATAAAATTCCTCCCCAATCTTAAATCTTTGCTTAAACCATGTAACATGTTTGTCAGTGTACATGAGTGTCATAAAGGAGCTCCATATTTGTGAAAATAAGAATGGAAAATAAAAGAAAAAGGTTGCCATCTGGCAGCTGTGCATGGATGCTATGTTAAAAAAGGCTGAACATTTCAAATAGCAAGACCATATCATGCGTCTAATCTACCTAACTGCAGCAGGTAAATCAAACAAAGGGGCTAAAGAGATTATTGGGTACATTTATACACACACTTAGGATTTGAAGTGCCTTTAATTTGGTTACAGATCATTTAGAATATTAGTTTGGGTTCATTCACCAACCAACTTCTGGTTAGTTTAAAGAGCAAGCATAATATAAACACTCAGTTGGTCACTATCAAACACTGGCTCATGTTAATTTCTTCCTTTAGCTTTCAGTCCCTGCACTGCTCTCAACTTGCGTCTCAGGTCAGTCACGACTGGGAAGCGCCACTGTAGTTCAACCCTGTCGTGTCTGGTTCCAAGTCTCGTGGGCGTAGTCATTCGTTCCCTTTCATCATGCCCAGACGTGTAACTGGATCTCACTGGTCATAGACAAAAAGAGAAGGAAACAGACGAGAGTGAAACAGATACGAAGTTGGATTTTACAACAACGTCGAATATAGGAATTTTTAAAAAACAAACATTTGTTGATTTTTGTTTTAATGATGCTTTGAAAATCAAACATTTTTGTAAATCTTAGAAGTCATCATTACATTTCCACAACCATCGGATTATTTTGAACTTAACAGTGACTCATGATTTACAAGTCATTCGAGACGTCAAGGGAAAGAGCAGAAAACGGCATTTTTAACACTATTGCATGTTGAGAAAACTGTGATTGCCATTTCGTCATTAGTGAAAATAGTCTTGTGATGACTGTCTGTAAAATTCTTTGAAACTGGAGAAGAAATTGTAGGAATATTTTTTTTTAAGTTTGGATAAAATCCAATATGTTGAAAAACGCCACAAAGAGCTTTGAGGTTTGAGAGAGTGGATCCTAGGGAACGTTTACATTTTTGTTTTGAAAATCTGGCTGACGATTTTCACAGATTGACGAAAAATCAAACTGCATTGTAAATGTAATAATCTGAAAACACTGCGCTGATCCAAGCTCCAACACAGTTTCTGGGAAGTTTCACAGCTTTTTCCAATAACGGATTTGCAGCCGCATCCGTGTTTGTTTTATCGCTCTTTGAACAACTAACAATTCCCTCGTTTTTATTCATCCTTATCTCAGTGTCACACTAAGAAAAAGAATACGAAATATTGGCTTTGAGTTTAACTAAATAAACTGTTTTAGAAGGAAGTACTTTTTAAATAAATACACTCAACAAAAATATAAACGCAACACTTTTGTTTTTGCTCCCATTCCCCATGGGATGGACGTAGAGACCTAAAATTCATTCCAGATACACAATATAACCATCCCTCCCAAACAGTGGTCACAAATCAGTCCAAATGTGTGGTAGTGGGCACATCTGCTATATTGAGATAATCCATCCCACCTCACAGGTGTGCCACACCAGGATGCTGATCTGACATCATGAGTAGTGCACAGGTGTACCTCAGACTGCCCACAACAAAAGGCCACCCTGGAATGTGCAGTTTTGTCTCACAGCAAAATGCCACAGATGCCACAAGCAATGAGGGAGCGTGCAATTGGCATGCTGACAGCAGGAATGTCAACCAGATCTGTCGCCCGTGCATTGAATGTTCATTTCTCAACCATAAGCCGTCTCCACAGGCGTTTCAGAGAATATGGCAGCACATACAACCGGCCTCACAACCGCAGACCTCGTGTAACCACACCAGCCCAGGACCTCCACATCCAGCAGGTTCACCTCCAAGATCGTCTGAGACCAGCCACCCAGACAGCTGCTGGAACAATTGGTTTGCACAACCAAACAATTTCTGCACAAACTGTCAGAAACCGTCTCAGGGACGCTCAACTGCATGCCCGTCGTCCTCATCGGGGTCTTGACCTGACTCCAGCTCGTCGCCGTAACAGACTTGTGTGGGCAAATGCTCACATTCGATGGCGTCTGGCACGTTGGAGAGGTGTGCGCTTCACGGATGAATCATGGTTCACATTGTTCAGGGCAGATGGCAGCTGAGAATGTCCCAGTTCTTGCATGGCCAGCATACTCACTGGACATGTCACCCATTGAGCATGTTCGGGATGTGCTTGACCGGCGTATACGACAGCGTGTACCAGTTCCCACGAATATCCAACAACCTCGCACAGCCATTGAAGTGGAGTGGACCAACATTCCACAGGCCACAATTGACAATCTGATAGACTCCATGCGACGATGTGTTGCACTGCATGAGGCAAATGGTGGTCACACCAGATACTGACCGGTTCTGGGTCCCCAGACCCCCAATAGCGCAAAAAACTGCACATTCCAGGGTGGCCTTTTGTTGTGGGCAGTCTGAGGTACACCTGTGCACTACTCATGATGTCAGATCAGCATCCTGGTGTGGCACACCTGTGAGGTGGGATGGATTATCTCAATATAGCAGATGTGCCCACTACCACACATTTGGACTGATTTGTGACCACTGTTTGGGAGGGATGGTTATATTGTGTATCTGGAATGAATTTTAGGTCTCTACGTCCATCCCATGGGGAATGGGAGCAGTAACAAAGGTGTTGCGTTTATATTTTTGTTGAGTGTAGTATTATGCAGCTGTCTTAATGGAATATTTCCAGGAAATGTACACTGCTAGTTAGTTAAATGCCATTACATTATTACATGAAAACAACTGTCAGTTTCAAATCTTAACCACCAACAACTCGACCTATATCTGTCAAGTGCTACTTAGCTGTGGTTGAATAACTGTGCCGCACCTGTACTGCAAAGCAAGTTGTACTTTTTTTCAGTTGAGAGGAAATTTCATACCGGGGTAGTGGAACAATATAAAATAATGCAAATACAGGAGGAGGAGTAGGAGGATGGAAAATCCAGCAAGTCACTGCAAGTTCACTGTACTGTAAGTGACAGGCAGACTTTCTGTCTCATAATTCAGAGTAGAAAGTCAAAATTATAATTAAAACTACAGCTGTAATTGTACAGATAGTTCTTTCTATTTTTGTAGTAACTTCATATACGTCACAGGTGAGTTTCGATTAAGCTTTATGATTACATCTTTTTTAAATACTTGGTGTAGGCTTCTTTGAATTTTATAGTACTGGTTTCACATTGACGTGGTTTCACTCTGTTGATTTTATCTTTGTCTTTCTGTTCAGCAATATTTCTTTTGATTGCTTTTACACAAAATATATTGGCAGCAGATTTTCAATTTTGGTCTTGACATCTATTTATTTAAGGCACTGAAGTTTAAATACTCAGCGACTGTGATTTTCACTTGCTTCACTGAGCTTTGGAAGGTTACCACTTTACAATAAGGCAAACTTAAAGAGGGATATCTGAGTAAACTGTGAAAATATATACGATGCTGACAAAAATTGCCATGTAAAACATATATCAAGTGACGACTGAAGACCATTCAGGGTAAACCCTTACTTTAAGTATTTATCACAGCAGTTGTGAGATATAAGGCTTACTCATTTCAAAAATTACTACAAAGTTTATTATTAAGACATTTTTATAGGAATGTCATCATTGTTTTTCAAAGCCCAGAAAGCCCAAAATTGGCATTATATTTTGGGAAATTCTGATTTTCTATTAATATGAAGTATTTTTAAATAAATATGTGCTGCAGATGAACTTGCCCATAAATTCCCTTATATATAACCTGACTCCGATCCACTTTATGTTAATGACCAAAATGAGTGCAATTCATATATGAATTATTACTTTTCGATGACGTAACAAAGACGCATGAATGATTTACATCAGCAGAGAGTTACTACAAATGACAAAGAGAATTTTTTTCTCAACCTTTGACAAAGAAACACCAATCAGTGGAACTTCCTGGGACTTTACTGGGAGTGTTTTGGCTCTGACTTCCTTGTGAGAGCTGAGAACACTCCATCTTTCACTTCCCTTTAAGGGAAGCTGTGCTCCCCAGGAAGTATGTCAAGAAACTTGTATACACTGCAAAGAATACGCTCGCCTGACAGGATGGCTCGTGTTCTCAAGAAAATCACACCGGACTTTACTGAAATGCAGTCTGTTGATTCCCTCAGATAAGAACTATGGCAGCGGCAGGTTGGGTCTGCTTGGTGACTGTTCTGCTGTCTCTGTCATTTGTTGTGACGCGTGGTAAGTACTGATTCTCCAACTTCTTCTGAACACTTAGTTTCAGCTGAGTGACAAGCTCTGTCTGCTTTATGCCAATGTCGTGGGGTTAGCTGTCATGGTTTATAACCAGTTTAACTGGTTTAGAAACCAGTTAAACTGTCTGTTAAGATTTTCCTTAACAGACAGGGCAAACTATCCTATAGCTTTGCCAAATACATTTATATGTATGCATGTATGTATGTATGTATGTATGTATGTATGTATGTATGTGTATATGTGTATATATATATATATATATATATATATATATATATATATATATTATATATATATATATATATATATATATATATATATACACACATATTGTACATATGTATCCTAACTCAAATGTTACCATAAATTAATCATAAATCAGTGATCAGAATAGATACTGGAATAAAAGCTGATTCTTCAGTGTTCCTTGTAGTGGATTTATCTATTCATACATCTGTGGTAGGGGACTGCACAGAATGCATACGGCAGTATGATAAAATCTCTATTCAACTGATAGGTTACCTGGGTAGGTTTTGCTATCAAGACAGACAATCACGACAGAAAAAGATAAACTGTGGTTTGATGAGTAAAAAAAGCATACCCCTCAACATTCCTCTCACGACAATGAAGTGATTCTGATAGACGATAACGTCAAAAAAACAACAACTGAAAGGTCTGTGGGGTTTTTGATGATTATATAGGTCAAGGAGACCAAACATTTATACTCAGACTTTGATGTGTGAATCTCCAGGAAGCGTCTTAGCTAAAAGATGTCAGCATTAAAGTTGCAGCACCTGTGCACGTCAGGCTGAACATAAAGGACAAGGTTTTATAAAATGCTCCAGCAGAGCCAAGGATCCCTCGCCAAGCGTGGCGCCAATAATAAAACAGTTGACTGTAATAAGCAGAGTAATCTTTTTAAAAGTACTACTCTAAATATTCTGTTATACCTGAATACTTTGATACAGGCTAGCTGACATGACTTACCTCCATATTATTACATGGAGGTAAGCTGTACACAGATAAGAAGTATTAGTGTAAGACAAACATTAACAGCTATCTGCTAAAATTACTAAGCGTTGCTAAGATACGGCTGCAAGTTGCACTTTTGTCAGCTGGGTTTGACTAGCTGTGACGAACAAATGCTTTAGAATTACCTGAATTTCACAAGGTTCGCTGACGCAGCCTTACAACTTCACTAACAGTTAGACTGTGTAATACAAATTTCTTCTTCTTCTTACAGTAAACTGGCATGATGAGGTGAAAACAGTGTTTATATCTTGTTAATCCTTTAAACCCTGAAACATAAAATCATTTTATAATTTTTTGATAAATTAAAACGAAAAAAAGAAATGTGCAAAAGTGCAATTTAATGTTCACAGTAATGTGAAGTACAGTATAACAGGTTTAGGATTAGGGTTAAAAAACGGATGATGTTGAGGTCTAAAAAAGACCCGATGAGGGTTATGTCTCATCAGTTAATGCTGTATGAGGTGTTCCACTGATGACAGATTTACAGCTTTGACAGGAAGTGGCAAACAAGACTCTTCCTCACTGTTTGAATAATCTGCGCCCAGGATGCAATCTTGAGCAATAGTGGAAAAGGCAGAACATAAATTGCCTACAGTTTTTAAAATCCCATAACCTTTTTGTCATTAAACAAGCGAAAATGCAAACATTAGCAGCGGTTTCTATTAACACTAAACGCTTAAACATTTAATGTAAAAAGCACCAATTTAGAACAACTGCACATTCGTGAAAAATCCAGTTTGCCTACTGTCCATAGCTGAATACACACAAGCTGTGGCAAGAAGTGCGAACATAGTGTGTAAAATTTCTAAACAAATTTGACATATTTTGATGTTTATTTTAATTCCGTGAAATGTCGTTCTAGCTGTCTGTATGAAAAGCTTCAGAAAGCTCCTGCACATTACCATAAACAGGAGGGAGCCTATGGTAATATGTAATAAGGGCCTGTCTGATTGTGTGATTTTTTAATAATAAAAAATACATCATCACATTGGGCTGATAACCTCGTTTTCAGGTATCGTGTTCTCAGCCCATCGACCAAAACTTCATTGTGGCTCCTCAACTGTGCCTGAAGACTAAATATGTTAAAACACGTGGGTATTTTCTACCACAGTAACAATCTTGTTAACCACAAACGTCATGTATCTCTGACATTGTGAATAGCAAAGTATTTTAGATAGCTCTAAAAGTGCTGACTCTTCAGACCAGTCAGAATATAACTTGATAAAAACAACTTTGCACATATCTGCAACATCCATTTAACTAAGTAAAACTTAGATAACTAAAAACTCAAGAAAAAGGTAGAAATGATTTGGTACAGTTTGTGCAGCAACTGCTCTTTTTCAGAGCAAACATTTAACCACTTACCACAGGTTGCTGCATATCTCATACTGTTTGCTCAGCACAAAAGTGGCACAAAATACGATTATCATAGAATTTCATTTACATCCAATACACCATGATAGCCTTCTCCTTGTCTCCCTTAGGTGCAATACTACAAAGTGTAAATTTTCGATGCAACATACTATTTTATTCTATTTATAAAGTATTATATTCTATTGTTTTCTTAATTTTTGGTGCTTGTAACTTTGTACTGTCCCCTTTCTGCCGTGACCCAACAAATTTCCCATGTGTGGGACAAATACTGGTTTATCTTATCCTATGTTATTAACAGACGGTGAAAAAAAACGGGAAAGCATCCCTAGTTCTGTTTACAGATGCCAAACAGTTACTATTAAATTCAATAATGAAGTGGTGGTGGTGACATATCTTTGCACACCTGCATGGACGTGCATAGCCCTTCTCAGTGGTTGATAACCTGCAATATTAGAAGTTAACAAGTTGCATTAGTCATTGTTACGAAATGTTTGCTCTTTGACTGTAGCAAGACACCCATTTCCAGGAATCCATATTGGTGTTGTTCTACTTTGGACATGGCATTCACAGCTTGGAAAAGAACACAAATGTCTTTTCATGGAAGTTTGGAAGTTGGCTAACAGCTAGCTAGGTCCACCAAGGGGTGTTTGTCCTAAAAATATCTTTTATAAACAGTATGAAAGATGGGCCACCATCAGGTCACCCATGAGTTTTCAACTTTTGAAACTTCAGTGTCAGCATTTTGGTCCGACACTAGCTGGAGGTATTTCCCTGCCTTGTTGTTGTTATTTATCTTTATGAATGACCTAACATTGGTTGTGTCCTTGACATGCCATAAATGAAAAGAAGAACAGAAAAGAACAAACAGTTGTAAACAGAAACTCTACGGCGAGTGACAAGATGGGTTAAATCGCAATGGGCATTGATGTTTTCACACATTTATTCTGAGGAGAATTAAATTTGTTACCCAGAGCAGAGGTAATCCTAAGGTATTATTTCACACCATTACTGGTATTATTACTCCTGGTCCACCTGCTGCCCCCAATTTCTTCAAATGAAGATTGTGAAAAATTTCTTTCTTTCTTAATAGAATTTTTTTTTTAGTAATGTAAGAAAACATTTTTCCCCATCAGCATTTCTTACTCTGCCTCAGCCTGTTATTTGAGACAGCTTTTTATCGGTTTCACTAGCCGAGCTGGAAAAGTTAGTTAATTCAAAGAAAGTATCCTCCTGTTCATTTGACAGTTTACCTGCATCGTTACTCAAAAATGTCTTCCAGTCTATCGGTCCCTGTGTGCTCACCACAATTAACACGTCACTGGTAAAGTCCCTGTGCTGTACATCCCATCTAAAAAAAAAAACAGCAGTTGCAGGCCAATCTCAAAATTACCACTAACTGCTAAGATTTTAGAAAAGGTTGTGGCTAAGCAGCTTACAGCAGTTTTGGACAAACACGATATTCTTGACAAATTTCAGTCAGTCAGTGGCTTTCGTAGACCTCATTCTACTGAAACAGCCCTTCTTAGAGTCTCCAGTGACATTTTGATGCAAAACGATGCAGGAAAATGTTTTGTTTTGCTGATGTTGGACCCGACGCCAGCTATGCATTGCTTTTAAGCCCCAAGATCTATCTATGCTGCAGATTCTGAATGAGTGCTTAGAATCCATTAAAGGTTGGCTGGATGACAGCTTTCTCCAACTTAATGAAGGACACACTGAAGTCCTTGCATGTGGCTCCTGACTTGTACCTATGATAATGAATGCTGGTCCCCTTTCGACATTTGTGAAATCATCTATCAGGAACCTAGGGGTAACCTTTGACCCGGCTCTCACATTGGATGTCCATGTCAAATCTCTGATTTGGTCTTGCTTTTATTACTTAAGAAACATTGCCAAATTAAGTCCTATTGTATCTCGTACTAAACTGGAGATTATTATTCATGCATTCATTTCATCACGTTTGGACTACTGTAATTCACTGTTTACATGTCTAAGCAAAAACTCCCTGGAACGTCTGCAGGTTGTTCAGAACGCTGCAGCAAAGCTTTTGACCAAATCCTTGAAGTACTCACATGTGACTCGGTAGTCTCTTTTAAAAACAACTAAAAACACATCTTTTTAGAATTGCATTTCGTTAACTTTTTGTCTGTTTTTGTTTTATACCTTGTTATCTCTGTGTAAAGCACTTTGTGATCTTTTGTCTAGAAAGGTGCTATATAAATAAAATGTTACTTACTTTACTTACTTAGTCCTATTCTGTTCTATCTGTTCTTCTTTTGGAGTAACATGTCTTCCTTGTAGATTGATATATTTTTTTAACATCTTACATTAAATGACAAATAGTTGTTCTCCTGTTGCACTGTCACCTACAGACCACCGTGGGGAGATAGATACCTTCCATGTGAGTGCTGGCCATTTCTTTTTGCTGAATTGCTACACAGCAGAGGCTCATGATGTCGTGATCTGGAGCAGAGGGGAGAGTAAAGACAATCTGAGCCTGCCCACTGGAGTGGAAGTGAGGGACAGGTTACTTTGGTTTCTACCTGTCCAGATGTCCCACAATGGATCTTACACCTGTCAGATAAGGTATAAAAATATCTGTATGACTTCTCTTGCATGAGTTCTCCTGATCCCTGCAGTTCCATGCTTCTAGTATATTTATAAATGTGCTTTAACACACGTGCACAGACAAACACAACCTACTTTATAATAAAATGCTGTAAAACCTAACAGTTGTATGCAGGCTATGATCAAGCTCTGTTGTATTGGAAACCCTTTGTCACTCATCCAAGTGACTTCTTCAGAAGTCTCCAATGAAAACGCTACGTCCAGATGAACAAAATCAACCTTTTGCGACCTGTTTTATAAGATATGCCAACTAACCTACTAACTGGATTTTAACATCTGTAAATCTTTGATGTTGCACTTTTAGGAGACTGTGTGAAGGTTGTACTGGGAGCATATGGAGCCTCCTATACAACAGGGAGACGGGATTGGCCATTTCTAAAAATGAATGTGTTATTTATCCAGGAAATGATCAAACCATTAAGAGCAAATGAGCAACTGGATAAATATGCAAATATATATGAGAGGAGGGATATCAAATCTCCTCAGTTCCAGCCTTCAGGCAGTCTCTGTACGTGTGTGTGCTAATTTATATTCCTAATGGATGTTATTTTTTTTAATCTTATATCTAATTAGTGCTGAACAGATATATAACTTCAGCTTATCAGTGGAATAGAGGCATAACTGAAACATCAATTCATATTTTAGTCATATTGTCTGTAACCATTTAGGATAAACAAAAAGTACAGGGATATTTCTTGCTGTTGGCTTTACAATTCTTTTTCTTTTCAGGAATCAGTCTGGAGTATTATTACGGAGGCTAAAGTTTTGGGTGTCAGTGTCTAGTGGAGAGTGTCCTTATACCGTTGAGAGCATTTCCATCACAAAAGGAGTGAGCGACAGTCTTCCTTGTAAACAGAAAGAAATCTTCGGCCTGAATAGCGTGGTGAATGTACGATGGATGAAGGTATAAAGAGGCCTAATACACTTGTTTTACTGCATTGACATGTTTGCCTTGTTAGGACCTGATTTGAGTACAAAGAAAACTGTTGCTCATCAATATTATTTTGCACCTAAAAAAGCTGGCTGAAGAACGTACTGGCGGTCTGGTCTCTGCCCTCCATATACACCAATCAGGCATAACATTATGACCACCTGGTCCCCCTTTTCAAGTCAAGTCAAGTCAAGTTGGCTTTATTGTCACTTCAACCATATACAGTTTAACAGTACACAGTGAGGCGAAACAATGTTCCTCCAGGAACCAAGGTGCTACATGCAACATAAATTACAACATAAATTAACAAAAAAAACCCAAACTATCTAACTATCTAAGGAAGACTTTTTTTTTGTTATCAGACAGCAGACAACAAAGTGCACGTGCAAATGTGCAAACAAGAGCAGCAAAGTGACAGAATGATAGAAAAACACAACGTAACATAATACAGTGGGGCAAAAAAGTATTTAGTCAGCCACCGATTGTGCAAGTTCCCCCCACCTAAAATGATGACAGAGGTCAGTAATTTGCACCAGAGGTACACTTCAACTGTGAGAGACAGAATGTGAAAAAAAAATCCATGAATCCACATGGTAGGATTTGTAAAGAATTTATTCGTAAATCAGGGTGGAAAATAAGTATTTGGTCAATAACAAAAATACAACTCAATACTTTGTAACATAACCTTTGTTGGCAATAACAGAGGTCAAACGTTTACTATAGGTCTTTACCAGGTTTGCACACACAGTAGCTGGTATTTTGGCCCATTCCTCCATGCAGATCTTCTCGAGAGCAGTGATGTTTTGGGGCTGTCGCCGAGCAACACGGACTTTCAACTCCCGCCACAGATTTTCTATGGGGTTGAGGTCTGGAGACTGGCTAGGCCACTCCAGGACTTTCAAATGCTTCTTACGGAGCCACTCCTTTGTTGCCCGGGCGGTGTGTTTTGGATCATTGTCATGTTGGAAGACCCAGCCTCGTTTCATCTTCAAAGTTCTCACTGATGGAAGGAGGTTTTGGCTCAAAATCTCACGATACATGGCCCCATTCATTCTGTCCTTAACACGGATCAGTCGTCCTGTCCCCTTGGCAGAAAAACAGCCCCATAGCATGATGTTTCCACCCCCATGCTTCACAGTAGGTATGGTGTTCTTGGGATGCAACTCAGTATTCTTCTTCCTCCAAACACGACGAGTTGAGTTTATACCAAAAAGTTCTACTTTGGTTTCATCTGACCACATGACATTCTCCCAATCCTCTGCTGTATCATCCATGTGCTCTCTGGCAAACTTCAGACGGGCCTGGACATGCACTGGCTTCAGCAGCGGAACACGTCTGGCACTGCGGGATTTGATTCCCTGCCGTTGTAGTGTGTTACTGATGGTGACCTTTGTTACTTTGGTCCCAGCTCTCTGCAGGTCATTCACCAGGTCCCCCCGTGTGGTTCTGGGATCTTTGCTCACCGTTCTCATGATCATTTTGACCCCACGGGATGAGATCTTGCATGGAGCCCCAGATCGAGGGAGATTATCAGTGGTCTTGTATATCTTCCATTTTCTGATGATTGCTCCCACAGTTGATTTTTTCACACCAAGCTGCTTGCCTATTGTAGATTCACTCTTCCCAGTCTGGTGCAGGTCTACAATACTTTTCCTGGTGTCCTTTGAAAGCTCTTTGGTCTTGGCCATGGCGGAGTTTGGAGTCTGACTGTTTGAGGCTGTGGACAGGTGTCTTTTATACAGATGATGAGTTCAAACAGGTGCCATTCATACAGGTAACGAGTGGGGGACAGAAAAGCTTCTTACAGAAGACGTTACAGGTCTGTGAGAGCCAGAGATTTTCCTTGTTTGAGGTGACCAAATACTTATTTTCCACCCTGATTTACGAATAAATTCTTTACAAATCCTACCAAGTGGATTCATGGATTTTTTTTTCACATTCTGTCTCTCACAGTTGAAGTGTACCTCTGGTGCAAATTACTGACCTCTGTCATCATTTTAAGTGGGGGAACTTGCACAATCGGTGGCTGACTAAATACTTTTTTGCCTCACTGTAATAAGGTTTTGTGATGATGAGTTGAGGTAGTGGAGGAACAGTAAACATTCCTTAGTGTAGCAGCAAAAATTAGGAAGTACAGAAGTTAGTGCAAAAAGTCCAGTAATAATATTGTGCAAAAGAGCATTAACAGGTTGGTGTGTACGATGGTTTGGTGGTGTAGGTCAGTGTGTTTGCGCTTGTGTTGATTAGTCAGTCCAGTCTCAATGTTTTGAGGTAGTTGAGTTAAGCTGAGTGATAATGTTAGTGTGTGTGTGTGTGTGTGTGTGTGTGTGTCTGTGTGTGTGTGTGTGTGTGCGTGTTTATCAGTCAGTCCCTTTTTGAGGAGACGGATGGCTTGTGGAAAAAAGCTGTTGCACAGTCTGGATGTGTGTGCCCGAATGCTTCGGTACCTTTTTCCAGATGGCAGGAGTTTGAAGAGTGTGTGAGGGGGGTGTGTCCAATCTGCCACAATGCTGGTGGCTTTGCGAATGCAGCGTGTGGTGTAGATGTCCTCAATAGAGGGGAGAGAGACCCCGATGATCTTCTCTGCTGTTCCCACTATCCGCTGTAGTACGCTTTTACTGTCAAAACAGACATTACCCCTTGAGACGTGGACCCCACAAAACCCCGGAAAGTGTGCTGTGGTATCTAAGCAACAGATCCTATTAGGGCTGAACGATTATGGAAAATAATCTAATTGCGATTTTTTGCCCCAATATTGCGATTGCGATGCGATATGCGATTATTTTTTAAGGTCTTTGTCTTCTGTATTATTAAACAAAGACAAGCAATACATCATATAGTATGGCCAATACTATATTACATTAATTTTAAACTGTTCTTTCCTGGAAGACAGACCTCTGTTATGATGACATGAGGTGATGCATGAATTGATGACTGACATTTTTATTTAACTTCTTCAATCACAACAGTATATTTGAACATACACAATAGTTAATTTTTAGCTTACAAACATCTGAGCATAAAGTGCTGACAAGGAACCCTGGTGTAAACATTAAAATGAAAGTCAGTACAATGTGCAGATTGCAGAAATATACATAAAAAAAATCAGTGGCTTTACCACACTCAGTTTTTCGACATCTGTGAACTACTAGACAGTCATTCAATTAAAAAATAATATTAAATAAATAAAACTAATAAATAAAAAATACACACATCTTACTGATCTTTGCAGTCAGTAACATTACACATAAAGTGCAAACATAATAGCAATTGTATAAACACACACACAAACACGCCTTTAAAGTTTAAAGGCGTGAAATTGGACGGTCTAGCCTTCTGATTAGCGTCACCGCTGTCTCGGTGGAGTTTAATAAACTCGGCCGTCTGCTTCTTGCTATCTAAAATATAACCAGACACTGGTGTAAATTCTCGACTGTCTCATACTTCTGTTTAATAAGTTTTCTGTTTGACGTTTAGTCAGCTGTGTGAAAACCAAGGAGGAACCCACCCGGGGGATTAATAAAGTTTTATTTTATCTAATCTAATAACTTTAATCTCAGCCAAACCGATTTACTCACGAACAAACAAAACACTGAAAAAAGCCCAACAATAACATTTTTAGGTTGTCTAAGTGACTTATATATTACGTTTAACCCGAGCAGCGAAACTCCGCGGTGATCTGAAAATGATGTGCCGGGAGTTGTGCCGTTCTCGGCCGCATCAGTAATCCTCGAGCTCCCGGCTAGCTGTCGAGCTGGTGGGTAGCAGACGCCTCTGAAAACGTCGAAGCACTTTTGCAAATATGGGATATCTTGATAAACCGAGCAGATATTTGATGTTTACACAACTACTTTCTCGCCTGAAAATATGTTAAAAGTTTATTTTGTGACCCTGAAAGATTAGTATGAGTAATTTTAAAACTTAGTAGCGGCCGCCATTGCTGGAAACTGGAGTTTGGCTGGGCCGCGCTATGAATTCTGGGATATGGTAGTAATTTGGACAGCCTTCGGCGCGTCGCTGTGACGTAATCGGTCTACAAATGCGGCCTCAGGAGGATGCAGCCCATGAATTTGGACATGTCCAGAGTATAATCGCAGCCTTTGCGGTTAGAAAATTGCACTTGATCATGTCGCGATATTATCGCAAATGCGATATATCGTTCAGCCCTAGATCCTATAATTCCTATAAGTTGGGAGGTGGAGACTCCATGGATCAGGCTTCTTTGTCCAACACATCCCACAGATGTTGATTAAATTGAGATCTGGAGAATTTAGAGGCCAAGTCAAGATTCCAAACTCATTGTTGTGCTGCTCAAACCATTTGTAAACCATTTTTTGCTTTGTGGCAGGGTGCATTATCCTGCTGCAAGATTCCACAGCCATCAGGGAATACTGTTTCTATGGGAGGTCATACATGGTCTGCAGCAGTGCTTAGTTAGGTGGTACATGTCAAAGTTACATCCTCATGGATGGTTTCCCAGCAGAACGTTACCCAAAGCAAACTGTGATCCACTATGTATTCTGACACCTTTCTATCAGAACCTACATCAACTCTTTCAGCATTTTGAGCTACAGTAGCTCGTCTGTTGGCTTGGATCACACTCCAGTTTTGGAGAGGCTCTCACCCAGCTGTGTGGCCAACACAATTTGGCACTTGTCAATCTCGGCTCAAATCCTTACGCGTGCCCATTTTTCCTGCTTCTAACACATCAACTTTGAGGGCAAAATATTCATTTGCTGTCTAAGATATCCCAGCCAGTAACAGGTGCTAATAAATCAGTTTTATTCATTTCACCTGTCAGTGGTCATAATGCTATGCTATTGGTGTATAATCCCATTTTATGGAATATAATATCATGAAGAGTGGACAGAAACAATTGCTGATAAACTATCAGTGGAAACAGCAGATATAAACTAGGCTAGTTTATACACAATCGCTCCACCTAAAGTGCTTAGGTGGGCCAAATCCCAGGCTTCTGTTTTACAACTTCCATAAATGTAACACTGCCCCCTTCTGTAGATATCAGGGAAAAATGTGTGCCAGATCTGCCCCCCTGGCAGATAAGACTGGTTGCCACCCAGGCCAGCAACAATGTAGTACTATGCATTTTGTTACCTGGAAACTTGCGACCAACACATTTTGAGATCACTATGCCAGTTTTTTGCTTTTTATTCATGTTTTCCTTTATTTCTGGCTCTTCTTTCTTGTCTTGAGGCTCAAAAATGCCTCTCAAAAATATGGCACTGTGAAAACTAACTACAGGATTGGTTTCTGTCTGCAGGATTGCCAGCTCATTCAGCGGCAAGGGAAACCCATCTCTGTTGATATGAAAGGCAACATGAGGCTTCCTCAAGCCTCAGAGGAGGACAATGGGAAATATACCTGCCTGATAGACATTAACTTGGATGGCAGGAATTATACCGCTTCACGCAGCATCCTGTTGACTGTTAAAGATGGTAAGTACTGTAGAGCTCTCATATTGAATCCTTAATTATTCTGGTGTCATTTTTTAATATATTACTCTGGCTGTACATAATTATTATTATTATTTTGTTTTGTTTAATCATAGACTTGAAGACTTAATTCAGGGGGTTTAACAAAAAAGAAATAAATCATTGGATGCTTTGGCATACGAGTTGTATCTCTCCATTTTCATTATTTTTCTCTTCTCCTCATGCTGTTGTAAGTTAAATATGTCCAAAGATGTTTTCTCAGAACATGCAGGCTCTTCTTGTTTTTGAGTGTGAACAGTGGTTTTCACCATCTGGTAAACCATCTGTATTTACATTCATAAAGGCATCTCTTGATTGTATATTCTAGACTCTGATAACGACACCATATTTCCTTGAGTGTTTACAACTGTGGTAAATGTTGTTTAGCCTTTTTTTTCTTAAATCATGGACTCTAGTAGGTTTGTTTGGTCTTCTGGGGCCAGATTCATTTCCTTAATTTGCATCAACGTCTCAGTGAATTTCACAAGTTCCAGTGAAATGCTGAAATACAAGTTTAGCTATTGGACTCAGATCCAGATGTCTTTAATTAACTTTGTTTATCATGGAATGACGAGGCAACAGGCCTCATCTCCCATACTTTTGAGCGTCTGAAAATGGGGGATTATGGATAAAAACGAGTGTAATTCCTAAAGAGTTCATGCAAAACCTTGGTTAAACCTCTTGAATTAAAGCTAAACATCTGCACTTCAATCACATCTGGTTTGTCTGATTTAAATTAGCCTGTGATGGTGTACAGAGGCAATATATACAAATGCTTATGGAGCTAAATGTATATTGTCCCACTTTCTTTATTTTTCCTTCCTTCTTTCTTTCTTGCAGACCTCCCAGAAAAAGTTTTTGTAGAGCCACAGCTGGTGACCCCTGACAAGCAAGAGATTACAGTTGAACTAGGCAAGTGAAACACTAAATAAAATGCATTAGAGTGAATGTTAGTGCTATGGAAAAATATTATAAACACCTTTAAATATCATGAAGTCATTTACACCATTATCCATTTATTGACTGTATGATCTTTATGATAAATACTTGACAAACAGTTGTTTTTCAAGTCAAGATGACAATAAAGTCCTTTAAAACCTTTGCAATGGTGCTTTGTCATCTAGCGACTGAACAGAATTAGTCAGAAGCCTTTTGAAAAGTTTCCGTGACGTTAAATTTCATTTGAGCTAACTTCATATTTTTGTTTGATCAAAACGGGAAATGTAGACTGACAGTTTCTTTGTTTTTTACTCTCACTGCCCACCAGGTTTGAGAGTGGAGCTGCAGTGTTTAGCATTCATAGGCTACAGTGAGGATAACGAGTCTTCACTGCACTGGACTGTTGGCAAGGATTACGCTGAGGACCTCGAGGAGATTAGTGTGTCCCGGAAAACGTGAGTTTTACATTACCATGGACGGGGCTATTAATAGGGCGAATACAAAACACTGCATTATACTGCATCGAGATTAAATCAAAACAACACAATGTGTCAGACATTAAATGTCACTTGGAGGCAGAACTTCTTTTCTGAGTAATAGACTGTAAATGTTGCAACTGTAGCAGCACAAAAAACTTAACACCTAACATTTACATATTATTCTTTGATTCCATGATTCATTCTGACTGACTGATTGTTTCTGTACCCTTTAGTATTCATAGAGAAGGCAAAGTATACGAACTGGTCATTCTGTCCATCGCTAAAGTTCATCGCAAGTTCCTGAATTTTGAGTTCGAGTGCCGTTTAGAAAGCCTAGCGGGAGAACAAATCAGTGTGGTGAAGCTTAAAGAAGGTAATAAAGATATATATAGACATATACATATAAATGTGTGTGTGTTCAAGAATTATAGTCGTCTGAGACACTTGCCTTACGTTTGTCTCCTTCCTCTCTCCAGCTGACCGCAGTTCTTTCCACATGAGTTGGGCTGTTTGCCTTTCTGCATCTCTGGCTGTTCTAGCCTTGGCTGCGTGCTTCTTCTTCTTTAAAGTAAACCTGATATTGGCTTACAGGGATCTGTTGGCACATTTTCCCAAACAACAAGGTAAAGCCGTTATCAGTTGAACTTAAGTTTTTGTGTGGCATCATCTGACGAGATACTACTAACCTTACAGCACAACTAACACAGTACTGAAAGCCGTGAAAGCTGGATGTTGATTCACATTTTAAAAGGATCAAACGTTATAAAATGAACATAAACAATCATTTAGATTCTGTCAGTTCCAGATGGGAAGCTCTATGATGCCTACGTGAGTTTCATCCATTCCAATGCCATGAGTTCAGATGAGGGCGCGAGGTTTGCCATGCAGATCTTGCCTGAGAAACTGGAGGAACAATATGGCTACTCTCTGTTTATCAGAGGACGGGATGACTGTCCTGGCGAAGGTAAGAAGCAGATATCCATAATATGTAAACAGAGGTAGAAAGACTTGTCTTTCTAGATGTAGTGTAATTCTTGAGGTTGTTAAGGTCATTCTCCAACCCCCAAAAGACGGGAAAACATACAAAGGCTTTGAGCTGTTTATTGTCACAAACTGCTGTTCACAGTTTTTATTAAATTAAGACATCAAATACATAACCAACGAATCTAAATCAGTTGCTATGATGCTTTCAGGTAAAAGACAAGTAGAACTAGTTGCATTTTAAATGTGGTTAAATTAACGTTTTTAATGACTTTATAAAACAAGAACTGGTTGCTTGATTTTCATTTTGATTTTCTCTAATGCACACAGACTCAAAGAGTCAAATATATACATACACTCACTTAAACCTCTAATAAGTGGTGCTGAAGCCTCTACAACAGGGGTCTCAAACTCCAGGCCTCGAGGGCCGGTGTCCTGCAGGTTTTAGATCTCACCCTGGGTCAACACACCGGAATCAAATGACTAGTTCGTTACCAGGCCTCTGGAGAACTTCAGACATGTTGAGGGAGTAATTTACCCATTTAAATCAGCTGTGTTGGATCAAGGACACATCTAAAACCTGAAGGACACCGGCCCTCAAGGTCTGGAATTCGAGACCCCCGCTTCTACACTATCTGTTAACTTGACAAGACCAAGGCCTATTATCTTTGTGCTACTAAAGTCATCAGCGATTACAACTGATGTTGTAGTCAGTCAATACTTCTCTTTGCCAGCATGAAAAGGATTTGTTTGACAGCACTCATTAGATTGACCAATACTCAGGTCTCAGTGAAGATCTAAGAAGGACAATTGTAGATTAGGGCTGCCACAAACGATTATTTTGATAGTCGACTAGTCACCGATTAATGGATCATGCATCCATTGGACGTAAAACGTACAGCTTATTGCACCAGCATGCATCTGCTCTTATATAACTATCATTAGCTTACAGCTTTAAGTGTTTAAGGTCTGTGCTAACTAAAAATAAAGACAAGATGATAGTTTATTAAATTTTAATGAAATCTGCAGGTTGTTTCAGTGAAGTTTAATAAACTCAGCCGTCTGCTCCTTGCTATCTAAAATATAACGGGACACCGGAGAATATTCTCGAGCATCTCACACTTCTGATAATCAGCTGTCTGCTTGAGGTTTACTCAGCTGTGTAAAAACTATAACTTTAATCTCAGCCAAACGATTTACTCAGGAACAAATAAAATACTGAAAAAAGCCAAACAATAACATTTTTAAATTATCTAAGTGACTCATATATCATGTTTAACCTGAGTAGTGAAAGACGGTGGTGGGTTTAAAAACGATTTGCCGGGAGTCCGGTGTTCTCACAGCTCTAGTGAGCCTTGCCCCCGGCTAACTATCGAGCTAGTGGGTAACAGACGTCTCCAAAAACGTCGGAGCACTTTTGAAAATATGTGGTGTCTTCATAAACTGAGCAGATATTTGAAGTATGCACAACTACATTCTCGCCTGAAAATATGTTAAACGTTTATTTTGTGACCCAAAAAGAATAATAAGAGTAAAGTTAAAACTAACTAGCGGCCGCCATTGTTGACTTCTGCGCTGAGCCGCGCTATGAATTCTGGGACACAGCTGCTTCTTCTTCTTCGGGGTTTAACGGCAGCTGGCATCCTTGTACATGCAGTGCTGCCATCTTCTGTTTCAGTCCGTTATTACACTCTTAAATCCTACTACTTATTCCTGCGTCTTTTGGGATCTTACAAAGCTTCAAACGACGCGTCGACTATTAAATTAGTCGTCGACGATTTCAATAGTCGACGTAATCGTGACTAGTCGACTAATCGTGGCAGCCCTATTGTAGATTTACAATTGGGAAGGGAAAGTCTGGAGTTATTGTTAAACAACAGCAGGTTCCAAGACCCTCAGTTCAGAACTCTAACTACAAAAAAGTAGAAGTTTTTTGGATGCGCCACTGCTTTGCCACTATCTGGAGGATGACCAAATAATGTTGTCCTCAGATCAGAGAACATTAGTTAGGAAAAACTTCAGCGGAACCACCAGGACTCAAGCCTGCCATGACCTGGAAGATAAAGTAAAGGCTGTTGAACCAAAGAACACTGTAACAGCTGTGTAGCATGGTGGCGGCATTGCTATTGCATTCATTCTCATGATGAGTGTATCTAAACCTTTGACCACAACTGTATCTGTAAGAATTCTGTTTATAGTTGCAAAAAAAAGAAAAAAAGAAAGAGAAGTTTGAAAAGAAAATAAGAGCTTCTTGGTTAAACTCCTAGTATAATACATGGGAGAAATTGGATAAAAGCCATGTTTACTAAATTACTGGAACACAGTACAGTACAGTTAAAAACAGACTTAATACTTTCTTGAGCTGATGTCTAGCTATCCTCTGTATTTCTGTTTTTCCCTTTTCTTTTTGTGTTCTTCTTATTGCTCTAGTTTATTTCCTTTATGTTTGTATTGGTGATACATTGCAATTCAATTCAGTTTTTATGTATATAGTGCCAAATCACAATAACAGCTGCCTCAAGGCACTTACAAGGTTCTTTAATTTTATTAATGCAGACTAAACTGGTAAGTTAAAAAAAGAAGAAGAAATGAGTGCCTGGAAGAAGCCACAGTTCTGCCCAAAATTATAGTTTGTGCTGTTGAAATGGGCTGTCTTCAGTTTGCAGACAAAGAGTTCTAACCTGCAGTTTTGTGTCTGGCCATGAATCCCTTACAGCAATACACGATGCAACAGCTGCTGCGATGCACCAGTGCCGCAGACTGCTTATCATCTTATCACCTGAGGCGAAAACGGAGGAAAGCACTTGCATATGTGACAATCAAAGCCAAGTGTGGTATGAGCAGAAAGTTGGCCTTCATGATGCTTTGACGAAGAATGATCCCAGAGTTATCCTGGTGGAAATTGGTAAATGATTACTCATTTTTCAAAAATCTCTAGCCACATGAATTCTGTTAAGTCACGGGTTATATAGCTCAGCATTCATGCCCTATTTGGTCATGTATAATTCTTTGCAGGCATCACAAACAGAGATTTTACTTCCAGCTTTTATGCTAAGCTAACTTAGTACATTTTGATAAGGAATAAAGTGTGTTCATCTCTGGACTTGTTGCACTCGGTCAGGACTTCGTTTAATAAAAATTAAAATGTCAGCTTATTAAACGTGTTTATTTTCATTTATATTTAAACTGTTTTTCTTTTTTGCCAGATGGTCCAGTGGATTACAGTCACTTGCCAGAGTCTGTGCGTTATATCAAGAGGAAACAAGGAGCCCTGAAGTGGAAGAAAGATTTTCTTGCGACACACAAATTCACAGAATTATACTCAAAGAGAAACTTTTGGATAAATCTCAGGTACCACATGCCCCCAGTACCTACAAGAAGGCTCCAAACTATTGTCTAAACAATATCTTAAAGTTTTATTGATGGGATTCATCCATCAGGCCTGTTTCTTGGAACACTTGACAAATGGAAACTTTACGTGCTTACAGCTGTCGTCACCTGTATTTTTAAGACTCACTAGGACTACAATAAGCAAGCCCATATATTCTTCTGCACAATGAATTTCACAACATGTGCAACAAGGATGGAGGCATCTGCTGGACT